ATGCATATTTTTATATTATATTATGAAAACAAGCAACAGTTTGAGTTTCTAGGCAGTACTTCTAGATCCAGGATCTCCGTCCATGAGCAGATGCTGTGGTTGCTGAAGGTACAGGGAGCCTCCACCACGACCCGATGCAAACCTGCCCTCGCTGTCCGGCCTGTGATGAAAAGCACAGAAACACGCTGAACTCAGCAGACGCGTGAGGTGTGATGCATGTCCTTGTGTTCGTCTGCAGTGCCTCACACTGATCTGATCTGAGCAACAGTCTGGCTGGATCCAGGTATACTTTCACCCGCTTGCTGGAGGCTGACGGTCTGTGATATCGGCCGTGAACGGGAACCGCGGCCTCACGCCTTCCTGACAGAAAAACCAGCACCGTGAAACCAGAGGACAAATACTCTGGAGCTTCCACATCAACCTTTGAGTCCAGAAGAACCTACAACACATTACATTAGTCAGTGAAATATCTCAGAATGGACACCTCTCATATGCTGCATTTCAACATGAACTGATATGAAATGAACACTGACCTCCAAACCGGTGTCGCGTCTCAGTGTTTCCAGCTGATATTCATCCATATAAACTCCACTGGGCAGCTGTTGGACTAGTAAAGCTTTGACTTCATGATCTATTTTGCTCCACTGAACACTGTATTGAAGATCTCTATAAACCAAACATCATACGTAACCACTGAAACACAATAAACACACATATGAATGAAAGAAATTAAAAAGCAAGAGGAAACCTGTGAAATCCTGCTTTGGAAATCTTCATAGACATCGACACTGACTTGAACCATTCCGATGGAAAACAATCTGCTGAAGGGGAATACATTAAACGCAGAACGTTTTAGCGGTTATTTGTTATAACTAATGATTAACAAGCATGTTTAGCGTTGCAAATACCTTCTTTTGAATCCCCACGATGGATAAAACATAGAAAAGTCGCTAATAAACAAAACCTAACCATGGTAGACCAGCGCTCGCGCTGTAATCCCGGCGTCACTTCCGGGTTTGATGTCGTCGGCCCGACAGAGGGCGCTGATAAGCGTCACGCGCGAAACTCCTTCATTGCTGATTTCAGCAGAAGAACAAGCGTGGAAATCTCGGCGAAATAACCAGAAAACATCAGCACGCTTTTGTCTTGCGCTCAGCAGCTGTTTATTTACCAGTGCGTGCACGGTGTTAAATGGGAGCCTGTGCCTTTAAGATAACCGACGCGATAAAATGTGCGAGTGATAAATACTCCGGTCTTTGCGCAAAACATCTCACCGTTGCTATGGTTACAGCACTAATATCAGATAGATAATCCTAAAGTCTTTATGCACAATATTTCTCGTTTGATTCTGCAGCTGGAAATGGAAGTGTGAGTGAAAATGTCCATAATATAAATGTATTCCTCCTTCAATCATCCTCATCATATATGAGACCCAAAACACCTGCAAGATGAGGAGAAGAAGAGTCATACCTGTGAGGCACTTCTCTCAGTATTCAGGTGAGTCTGTCTGAGATCGATTATCAAACCTGGTTTTCTAACTTTATGCAGTGCGTAAAGGAGCCGTGAGATTCATTCATACTTCAATGCACATGAAATACCGATTTAAAGGAACAGTTCACTCAGAAATGAAAACCTGCTGAAAATGTCCCCCTCGGGCCATCCGAGACGTCGATGAGTTTGTTTCGTCGTCAGATTTGGAGAAATGTAGCATTGCATCACTTGCTCACCAATGCAGTGAATGGGTGCCGTCAGAATGAGAGTCTGATAAAGCATCACAAGTAGTCCACAGCACTCCAGTCCATCAGTTAACATCTGGAGAAGACAAAAGCTGAGTTTTTAACTAAAATACGAGTCCATAATGCATAATAACGCTTCCTCCAGTGAAAAAGTGCATCTCCTGTTGTCCGGATGAGCCGAGGGTTAATGTTAATTTTCAGCCAGTTTTATTTTTGGCTGAACTGTTGTTGTTATGAATATATATACACACCTTGTTTCCAGACTGCAGTCGGGCAGCAGAGAGACTGAAGCATCACAGCGTCACAGCGTTTATCTGGAGTCGGTCTCTTTGGCTCATCTGAAGGGTCTCAGTCTGGAGGAGAGTCTCGCCGCCGCAGAGGACCTGAATAAACGGAGCGATGAAGAGCTGAAACGCAGGAAGGCCCAGCTGTTCGAGCGCAACCGCAAACACAAAGAGGATCCGGACTTTGTGTATGATCTAGTTTCCAGAGAACAGCGTGCCAGAGACGTGCAGCTGGGATGAAGGGCCGTCCGATGAGGAGTTTTAGAGGATCAGAAACACTGGTGCATCATGGGGCTTCTGTTGAAGTCTGATGATGAACATGTTACGTCTAAGCATTTGCTGCTACATGTTGTTTTAAGGTCACTTCCTCTATGGTACACATTATGTGATTTTTTGTTGTTGTCTTATCCTTTCTTCTTTTAAATAAGATAGCATTGATAATATTGAAAATACTTCAATATTTAATTTAATAAATATGAAAAAATGAAACCCCAAATCTGCAAATATTATTTGGAGTTTTTAAATAGCTATTTTTGGCCATACATCATCATCATCATATAATTTTTTTATAGTAAAAATTACAAGTAATTTAACTGCATCAATTATATATATGGTTAAAATACTAAAATGACTAAAAGTGCAATAAAAATTCATAAAAACTAAGACATATTTAACAAAACAAATTACAAATTAAAACTAAAATTAAAATAAAAACAAAGTAAAAAACAAAAAAAAACATCAAATATTAATAAACACAAAGATTAGATGACATGCATTTAAAAAAACTACTTACTAAAACTTTACAACTAAAATAAAATGAAAAATATAAAAATGTAAATTTAATTCAAGATATTAATAAATACTAAGAGAGTAGACATTTAAAAAAACAAGTAAAAATTACAAAACTTTAAAGCTAAAACAAACAAAAAAAAATCAAAAATATTAACAAATAATAAGATAGTAAATATATAAAAATTGTAATTAAAATGAAGAGGGAAAACATAAAACAAAAAAATTTACATTTAGTCATTTAGCAGATGCTTTTATCCAAAGCAACTTACAGATAATTACAAATTAAATTTAAAATATGAATACTGAGCTAATATAGTAATGATACTAAAATGACACTGCTTTATATCACACAATGCTTAACATGCATTTCAAACGACAGATGAGTTTTAATGGTAAATATTTATTTGTTTTTACGAAAAGCTGTACGGAACATCGAGTCCATATTTTTCAGGGATAGTTAAACATGAAAAAATAAAACGCTACTTGATTGTCACACTTTGTGGATTCTACCCACTACTGATGACACGACACAAAGTACAGGTACATGTGTTCAACAAGGTAGTCTCACGTCAATATGATAGAAGGAATATTTCATGTTTTATATTTGGATCACATATAGAATGATAAAATAACACAAGAGCAGCGTTAACACCGCTTCATCTCGCTTTGGTTGATCCTCTGACAGTTGGTTTGCCTTTCGACGTTTAGAGCCATAAAAACGGCATTGAATCTGAAAGCGTTCTGGCCATATGTGCATCAAAGCTGCTGGAGAAAAGACAGCAGATACTGCCGAAACCATGTGCTTAAAACATTCAGAACTGGAGCAAGACACTTTCTTCGGGATGGAGTTTGAAACGCGGCGGTTTATGCAATCCGCGATAAAAACATAAAAATGGTAACTGCGAATTTTTCCTCTCACAATTCAGACTTTGTTCCTCGCAAAAGGGTTAAAATTTGTGAGATAGAAACTAAAGAATAGCGAGATATAAACAAAAAAGTCTGAGTTGACATATAAACTCGCAATTGTGAGAAAAAAACGAGATATTAACTCAGAATTACGAGACAGAAAGTCGCAATTACATTTTTTATTTTTTATTCCGTGGCAGAAGTAAAAAAAAAAATGTGCGAGATATAAACTAAATAATTTTATCTCGCAATTCGTTTTTTGGGCCACAGAATAAAAAAAAGGTAATTGCGACTTTTTCTCTCACAATTCAGATTTTGTTCCTTGCAATTGTGAGTTTATATCTCGCAATTCTGAGAAAAAAGTAATTAGTAGTCTGAATTGACACATAAACTCGCAATTGTGAGAAAAAAACGAAATTGCGAGATATTAACTCAGAATTCCGAAACAGAAAATCGCAATTACACTTTTTATTTATCCTGTGTCGCACATTTTTTTTGTGCCACAGAATTTAAAAAAAAAGGTAATTGTGGCTTTTTTATAAACTAATTATATAATCTTAGATATAAACTAAAGAATTGTAAGATATAAACTTGCAATTGAAAGAAAAAAAAGTCAGAATTCCAAGATATAAATTAAAGAATATAAACTAGCAATTGCGAAAGAGTCAGAATTGCGAGACAAAAACTCAGAATTATGAGATAAAAAGTCGCAATTATCTTTTTTACTTTTTATACCGTAGCAGAAACAAAAAAAGACAATTATGAGATATAAACTCAGAATGGCAAGGTTTGCTTTGTTTTTGCCACAGAATAAAGTAATTGTGGCTTTTTATAAACTAAATATATATTATAAGATATAAACTAAAGAATTGCTAGATATAAACGTACAATTCTGAGAAGAAAAGTAAGAATTGTGATATATAAAACTCGCAATTGCGACAAAGAATCTCAGAATTGCGAGATATAAAGTCAAAAGGTAAAAAGCCGCAAATACTTTTGTATTTTTTATTCCGTGACGGAAGCAAAAAACGCAATTACGAGATATAAACTAAAGAATTGAGAGATGTAAAGTCAATTATGTTTCTGTTCCGAGAAAAACGCCAATTGTTTTTTTCTGCAACGGAATAAAGTAATTGCGTTTTTTTTTTCACACAATTCAGACTTCGTTTCTCGCCATACTGAGAAAAAAGGCATAATTGCGTCATTTTGAGAACTGCGAGATTTAAACTTGAAACTGTAAAAAAAAAAAAAAAAGTTTAGAAAGAAAAATGTCAGAATTGCGAGAAAAATCCGAATTGTTAGATTACCTTTTTTAGTTTTTAATTCTGAGGCGGAAACAAGCTTCCACAGTAGCTAATCGCCTCGATTCTGCAAAATATTCCGAGTGAGATTTTAGGTTATCGTCTGAAATTATAGAATTAGAAACAATAAAATGTATCACTTGCACTTTAAAGTTAGGTGATCGATAGTTGCAGAAAAAAGTAGTTGCGTTATCCTTTAAGTGCAAGAGCGGCTGCCGAATTCAGCGTCTTAAAAGTTCGCGAAACATTTCATGAGCAAAGCACAATGACATGATAGTTGCTTGAAGCTTCATAAAAAAATTAAAATACATACTAAACAGTAAGTAAAGAGAAAATATATATATATATATCATATATATCCTAGATTGTCTGAAAATGACAATTTGACAACACAGAATGAAACTTAAATGGAAACATTTCAAGTACTTTGAAAAATAAAAACTTTGTTTCCTCGCGACCCTCGTATATTTCATCATGGCCATATTAAGGAGTATATATTATATCCTATTTCACCACCTAGACAAAATACATATATGTGCATACGTATACATATTCATATAGAAATGTAATCTCTCAACGATACAAATGTGCGTCTCATTTTTTCTTCCGATCCTGGGTGCATCGTGGACAGAACCTGGAAGGAGGAAAAGAGACGTTGTTTTTTGATGTTGGAAACAGAGATATGGTGAACAGACCGACGTACCATTTCCCTTTGGGTTTCGTTGTCAGATCAACGCAGGCGAAGTGAAACCACTCAATGGGACACTGTTAAGAAAGGCATTTTGGTTAAATAAATACTATGAGGAACGGCTAATCAACGGTTTACAGCGTTCGTTTCTCACATCTGAGTTGTCGCATCCGATCATTTCTCCGTATGACACTTGGTGGCACAGACAGTACGTGGGCTCATTAGGGTCAACAGGCATGTCTAAGACGTCTGACGGATGAACTGGAAGGATGGATTCAGAGAACTCGGGGCTGCGGAAATAAAGAAAACAACGTAAATGTCACTTCAAACCTGCATTTTTGAGTGAACTATCCTTTAAAGGAACAGTTTACCCAGAAATGAAAAGGCCATCCAAGATTAGGATGAGTTTGTTTCTTCATCAGGTTTGGAGAAATGTAGCATTGCATCAGTGTCTCAGCAATGGATGCTCTGCAGTGAATGGGTGCCGTCGGAATGAAAGTCTTATAAAAACATCACAATAATCCACACCACTCCTAAAATACATTGAGTCCATAATCCATAATAACACTTCCTCCAGTGAAAAAGTGCATCTGCTGTTGTCTCTCACATCAAAATCCAGTCACATGTGTTTAGAGCTGTTTAAACGGTGCTTGATCTGTGCAGATTTCTCTCCTGATTCACACCAGAACACCGTTATTATTGATTATGGACTCAATGTATTTTAGTTAAAAACGTCTTAATGCTGGATTTGTTTCAGCGTTTGTCTTCTCCAGATGTTAACTGATGGACTGGAGTCGTGTTGATTACTTGTGATGCTTTATCAGACTCTCATTCTGACGGCACCCATTCACTGCATTGCTGAGCAAGTGATGCAATGCTACATTTCTCCAAATCTGATGAAGAAACAAACTCATCCACAGCTCGGAGTAAACTTTCAGCAGGTTTTCATTTGTGGGTGAACTGTTCCTTTAAGGTTTAATCATTGCGACTCTCACCTGCTCTTCATTTTCTTTTTCCGCGGCGAGTCGTCGTCTGAAGATTTCCGTCCTCTTCCTTTCGGCCGTCGTTTTTCCTTCAGGCTTCCTCGACCGCCTACCTCTATGAAGGACAGCAGTTGGGTTTTATTCTCCTCGTACATCATGTTGACTATGACACATGTTGTATTTGGCCAAATCAAGCCATGTTCTGTCTTACTCTTGGCCGCTCTGTTGTCTGGACTTTCGTAGCCGCTGACGTCCAACTTTTCCTTCAGCTCATTCTCAAAGCGAGCGAGATCGGCATCCAGCCTTCGGATGTGTTTGTCCACCTGGTGAGAAGAAGCTCGCGTTATTTTTATCAAAATGAATGCAGATTCCCAGTGCAAATGTTATGTTAATGTATGTAAATGTTAATATTTTAATCAAACTATTCAAAAAGAGCAATGATTGACTATTTATTACTATTTATAATTTACATTTTTATTATGATTCAGAGTAAGAAATACTTTTATCTAATGTAATTTTGATTTCTTTATTAACATCAAAACAAATGTTGATTTATTTCATTTTTCTTATTTTTATCTCTTTAAAACAAAGTTAAACTAAAAATCATATGATACATATATGCATATTCTACTCAATTAAATATTTTAGAGCTGATTATATAATACAGAAAGTTATATTTACTACAGGAAAAAAAAAGAAAACCATTTCTACTCAATATTTTAGACCTGTGTATAAAACACAAAATGTATATTTACTATAATAAATCTGATTTTTGACAATAAAACAATTTCTACTCAATTAAATATTTTACAAATTAATATAAAATATACACAATTATACTTACTATATAAAAATTATATGATTTTGGGCAATAAAATGATTTCCATTCATTTTAACATTTTAGAGCCAAGTATAAAATATGGAAAATTATATTTACTATAAAAAAATCTATGATTTTGTCAACGAAACAATTTCTATTCAATTAAATATTTTATAGCAGCGTATAAAATAAAGAAAATTATATTTACTAAAAAAAAAACAATTCTGTGATTGTTGACAATAAAACAATTTCTACGCAATTAAATATTTCAGAGCTGAGTATAACATATATAAAATTATATTTACTACAAATAAAAATGCTATGATGTTTAATAATAAAACAGCTTTTTAGAGCAGAGTATAAAATACAGAAGCTTAGATTTACTATAAATAAAATGTGATATTTGACAATAAAACTATTTCTACGCAATGAAATTTTTCAGAGCCGAGTATAAAATATGGAAAATTATATTTACAATAAAAAACAGATACAAAAAAAATCTACTCAATTAATATGTTAGAGCTGAATATAAAATACAGGAAATTATTTTTACTACAAGTAAGAAGAAGAAAAAGCTTTTTGACAATAAAATAGTTTAGAAACATATTCCACAAATGAAAAATTCCTTGATATTTCCAGGTTTGACTAAAGTCACACACTTCTAAAAGTAGCTAACCGATTACTGACCATTTCGTACGTCTGCATGGCGAGCTGCACTTTGTCGTCGCTGTATTCTTTGCATTTGCTGAATCCGTTCTGGATCTTCTGCAGGTGCTCCACTCTCTGATCCGGAGCCAGATTCAGCACGTTTTTAATGTATTCTTCTGCGAGCTTATCGATTTCACATTTCTTTTCTGCAAGGAGAGGGAATAAAAGAGTCAAATATTCATCAGTGAGCTGTAAACGCAGATCCACCCATGCTGTGTTCTTGGTCACTCCTAAGGAATATGTTCTAATGATGCCCAGAAATGCTCCCTAGGTAGACAGCACACTATGATTTGAGACGCACCCTCCGCTCTGTTGTCGAGTTCCCTCATGAGTGTGAAGTTTCTCTGGAGCTCACAGGGCAGGTTTTCAATGCCTAGGGTCATAAAAAAAACACATTCATGGTTTAATACACTGTTTACTTGCATGAGGAAAGTTCTGGATTGAGTCTGCTACCATCCTCTATTTATCTTAGAGCAGAAAACACACAGACACCTGTCTGTTTTTATCAAACACATGTATTAATTTCATACACACACATGAAATCTCACTAAAGACATCAAAACAACACGAGTTTGTTGACTTAGCATGTTGTTGTTGTTAGCATGCTGGCTAACTACTTTCTGTCCTGTATTTACAACTTGCTGTGGCTTTACAGTAGCTGTATATATAATGACCTAAACAACAAAACGAAAGAATAAATGAGATCTACGCAGTTTCATGCGGTCGAAATGAAGCTAATCAACCTGTTGGCTAGTAAGCTGCAGCGCTAATGCTAATCTGATATTAGCCACCAAAACATCCTCAAACTGGAGCACTCAAAACGCCTTCATCCCGCTTAAAATGACTTTAAATCCAGCGTAAATGAAGTATACTCACTATCGAGATAATGTTCGAGATAAATAGCTGTCGCCATGGTGACGATCTTCACTCGTTCGCAGTTTGTTTTTGGCGGAGAAAAACATTGGCATGTCATGAATAATTAATTAGGAAGCGCTCTGCTAGTGGCTGATAGGTGGCGTTTTTGAATGCCGTGTTTTGATTGGCTGCCAGTGGGGCTTGGCTCATTAGCGTTCTTTCGATGTCCATCGCCGCAGATCGATAGATATAGCAATAAAATAAATCATTCATATAAATAATATTAATAATAATATTTTACATTTTAAACTATAAAGTAAGTATATATATTTTTTTGAATATATAATGAATATAGACGCAATCATATAATAATATTCAATATATTCAATTAAGGTAATACAATTGTAATATTAGTTATATGAATGCATTATCATAACATTTATTAAATGTAATATGGACCTTTTTAATTATCAACTACACAAATACATCTTATTTATACATTTTATTCTATAATATCAATAATCAAATTTGGAATTTAGTAACTGTATGTAATGTTTATTCTATGAATTTAATGAGATCAAATATAAAATGTATTTATATAACACATAGATAAAATTACCCTATTCAATATATACATTTATTGGTCCATAAAACATTAATATTATTTAAAAATAATATTTAATACAATATAGTCATTTTATAGTATAATATTAATATTCATATACAAAAATACACATAATTGGTGAGACTCCGTGCGGTCACGTGACTTGTGTTTGTGTGCCACTAAATCTAAGATTCATTAACATATTGGGTTAGACTAATAAGCAGTAAACATCAATATTAAACGATTGTTGGGAATATCATTAAAAATCCAAAGATTTTTGTTGGAATATAAATAATACAGCAGAACAATTTGGAGTTAAAGCATTTGTGTTTAGCCCTGCAGTAGCTTTAAGTGCTCCCTATTTCAGACATCAATGCAGAATTACTAAAAGAGAAAATATCAAAGTTTCGCTAAATATGGCCACATATATTTGTCTTCATTATATTACGGATATCTTAAAATATTTACAGATGGGTCAAAAAACAAAAATGGTCATTGTGGCATAGGAATTGATATTCCAGAATTTAACAAAAAATCGGGTTATAGATTAAATAACCATCTTTCTGTTTTTACATTTGAGATGTCTGGGATAATTACAGCTTTTAAATTAAATTACCAGTTAAATCAGTCATATGTACAGACTCAATGGCAGCCTTACAAAGTCTAGAAAGCAGTATTTCAGTTCGAGACGATTTAATCATTGAAACTACTATTAAATATTAGAAATCTAGGAATAGAAGTTCAGTTTTGTTGGGTTGCAGCACATATTGGTATCAAAGGTAATGAAAAAGCTGATGGAGCATTGGAAAAAGAGCGAGTAGAAATGAATATTTCAATGGGAAAAGGAGAGATTAAAGCCAAGATTGAATATGAAATAATGCAAATATGGCAATAAAGAATGGGAGTCTGAGTCTAAAGCTAAACATCATCATATAAAGGAGGAAAAAGGATAAATATGGCAAACATGGCGAGAAGAAGTAGTATACTGAAGGCTGAGATTAGGTCATACTGGATTGAATGATACGTTGCAGACAATAGGGAAGAGTAATGGATTATGTACAAGATGTCAAACCAAGGAAGATGTAGAACGTCTTGTTTAGATGCAATAAATACCATGAATACAGGCAGAAATGGATAGAAGAAAATAAAATTGAAGATATTCTTGGAGAACAAGGGATGGAAAGAAATAGACTCAAAAATAGACCCCCCCCCCAAGTAAAGTATCTGCCAAATCCCTTTACACACTCCTGTACAGTAGGTGGCGATATGCAATAATTACAAGTTGCAAAAGCCAAGAAAAAAAAGAAGAAGAAGAAGAAGAATATGGAGAATTGTTTTAAGTATTTAAAAAAGAGAGTGTGAAGTTTGGAATTTGGTATTTATTTACGTAAAAAACAAATTTTTTTTTAATTTAATTTAATTTAATTTTTTTTTATCTATAATAGTTGAATAATTCATACTCCAGACCAGTAGGTGGCAGACATGCACCTTTAACGTTGGTTTGCCAATCCGCCAAAAAACTCGAGAGAACAAGAAGAAGAGTTTGTGTGCCACAGATCGAGGAGATCGAGGCACTTTCCTCCATCTTCGCCGATGAGTGGTGCGTGATTGATGAAGCTGCCAGAGTTTTCTGCGTCAGAGTCTCAGATGACGCGCAGCGGCCCAAATGGACGGTCTGTTTACAGGTGTGCGACTCATGAATATGCTAATGTATTCATGAATGCTTAAAAGAGTAGTTCACTTCCAGAATAAACATTTCCTGGTCATTTACTCACCTCCATGTCATCGGAGATGTTCATGTCTTTCTGTCTTCAGTCGCAAAGAAATTAAGGTTTTTGAGGAAAACATTCCAGGATATTTCTCCATATAGTGGACTTCAATGGGGATCACTGGGTTGAAGGACCAAATTGCATTTTTAATGCAGCTTCAAAGAGCTCTACAGGATCCCAGCCGAGGAATAAGAGTCTTATCTAGAGAAACCACCCTGATAGCACACGTACATCACGGAGATGTCTATTTGACGTCTGCATTTACATCTGCTACAGTGTTTGCTCATCTGCAATACGTCTATAGGACGTTTCCTATCAGATGTCAAATAGACGTTTAGAAGATGTCTTTAAGATGTTTATGATTTAGAATGAATTTTGTTTGTACACAGCAGATGCTTTCCAGATGAAGAGATCTTTAACAGACATCTTGCAGATGTACCTGTGCTAACTGGGGATCGGCCATTTTCTAAAAACAAAAACAAAATTATACACTTTTTAACCACAAATGCACATCTTGCACTAGCTCCGCGATGTGTGTCCGTAAATTCACGCATTACATAATCGTACGTATGTTGGAAAGGTCGCGCGCGGTTAGCTCTTCGTCTGTGTGCTCCGGTTCAGAAAGGTCAGGTCGGGCGAAAAACTCAGTATGGATGAAGCATTATGAGGCAGTATGAATGAAATCCGGACATACTACATCCGCCATGTTATTACGGTCACGTGACCTACCAGCGTCAGTTGCGTCGCTTCACTGCCGTTCATAAATACTCTGCTATGGCCTCATGGGATAGTAAAGTGTCCATCGAATGCGCACTTCAGAAACCGTGCAGAAGAATAGGTCATTCGGGTACTTTTTGCCTACCGTTTTTTGAATACTATGAATTCAGACATACTACTCGCCTCCCATACTGTTTTTCGCCTGCTATATAGTAGGGAGGTATGCGATTTTGGACGCAGCGTGGGTCAGTTTTTCCCGCCTACGTGACGCGTGACCTTTCCAACGTGATTCCGTCATGCGTAAAGTCAAGCTAGTGCAAGACCAGCATCTGTGGTTAAAAAGTATATAAATGTTTATTTTTTAGCAAATGAGCGATGGTTTCTCTAGATAAGACTCTCATTCCTCGGCTGGGATCGTGTCGAGCTCTTTGAAGCTGCACTTTGGTCCTTCAACCCAATGATCTCCATTGAAGTCCACTATATGGAGAAAAATCCTGGAATGTTTTTCTCAAAAACCTTCATTTCTTTGCGACTGAAGACAGAAAGACGCAATCTCGGATGACATGGAGGACAGTAAATCATCAGGGTTTTTTATTCTGGAAGTGAACGCTGTGTGTTTGTTTGAAGATCATACTTCCTCCAGATTATATCATATCAATATATCAGCTAAAGTATGACTGATTCCTACATCAGTCCACAGAGACGTCATGTGGAGATTCAGAAGCCTACATGGCAGGTGTTATGAAAAAATATATGATTAATTCAGTGTAATATGGACCTTTTATTCTACCGTATTAATAATCAAATACACAAACATCTTAATTATTTTATTATATGACATTATTGATCAAATCTATAGCTGCAAAAACATCTTATTTAATATACTAATTCGATGAAAATAAAATATTAATATTAGTAATTTAAAAATATTATTGGAGAAATATTGAAATACATTATTATTGAAGAAATATTAATATATCCTTGTATTCTATAATATGAATAATTAAATACATAAATATCATAATTACATAATATTTTATTATGTAATGTTAATGATCAAATATATAATTTATAAAAATAAATTTAATTACATATAATTAATTTTAATTAATTAATTTTTTATTTAATAATAAATATAAAGTCCTCATTCGTAAGTCGCTTTGGATAAAAGCGTCTGCTAAATGACTAAATATATAATATAAATATAAATATTATTTATTTATTTAGAACATGTTAATACTTTATAGCAGCAAAAATGAATTTAATGGTAAATAAAAATCGTAGTAATTTGAATGCATAAATAATAATAAATACTAACATAATATTTCTTAAATATAAAATGGTCTTTTTATTTTATATAATTAATAATCAAGTGCACAAATATGTATCCCTATGTTATTATAGGTATATATAGTATTATATATAGTACTAATAATCAACTATATAATTTATTTAAATCACATTAATAATAATTCAATATAGCAGCAAATATATTTTTAATATATTGATTTAATGGTAAATAAAACAATATTAGCAATTTGAAGACATTATTAAAATAAATTAAATATTTATTCAATATAATATGTTCATTTTATTTTATATGATTAATAATCAAATACCCAAATATATCCTAATTATAATGTTTTAGTCTAGAATATTAATGATCAAATATATAATTATTTAGAATACATCAATTTAATATACGTAGCAGCAAAAATATCATAGTTGATTTATTATTTTAATGCTAAATAAACATTAATATTAGTCATTTGAATACACTATTTACATAAATATTATTTACATGGTATTCATTCAATAAAATATGGTTCTTTTATTTTATATTATTAATAATCAAATACACAAATATATCTATAATATTAATCATCAAATTAATTTATTTAGAACATGCCAATAATTGGAGATGCATCATATTTATGCGTGATTTAAAAAAATGGCTTGGATTGGATTTCAAAAAACATTTGACACGAAAGCAGTT